CAAGAGCATGAACTATAAAGAGGTTTTTGAATTTGAGAAACTGAGGTAAACCTTTCATTTAGTCTGAATTCTAATAATTTTAATAAGCTCACAGATCCCATGTCATAAGAAAAAAACTTCTATCCCTTCGATTAAGAGATGGCTCTTTGAATTTGTATTTATAGAAAAGTAAACATGATCACATATGCCTAAATTATACCATTCTTTAAATTTCGCATTTTCTGTGAATGACAAAAACCACTGAAATGTATGTGCAGTTGCTCAAAAAAATTAAAGAGAATCATTCTATGATCCAGTAATTCCACAGATATCTATGTACCAGTGCTAATAACACCACTATTCACAAAAGCCAAAAGATAGAAACAACCCAAATGTCTATCAACTAATAGGTAGATAAACAAAATGTGATATACACATACAGTGGATTATTCAGCCATTAAAAGGAAGGAAATTCTGCAATATATGACAACATGGATGAACCTTAAAGACATTACACTATATGAAATAACCCAGATATAAAAGGACAAATACTGTATGATTTCATTTATAGGAGGACTTGGAATAAACTCAGAGACCAAAAAGTGGTTGCCAACAACTGGAGAGGGGGCAATATAGAGTTATTATTTAATGAGAACAGGATTTCAGTTTGGAAGATGGAAGTTCTGGGGAGGATGGTGGTGATGGTCGCACAATAACATAAATGTACCTAAGGTCACTGAATTGTACATGTAAAAATGTTTAGAATGCTAGATTTCATGATATGTATATTTTACCACCATTAAAAAAAAAAAAAAAAAAACCCTGAGGCAGGGAAATACAAATCAAAATCAAAATGAGATACCATCTCACACCAGTCAGAATGGCTAAAATTTACAAGTCAGGAAATGACAGATGCTGGCGAGGATGCGGAGAAAGGGGAACCCTCCTACACTGTTGGTGGGAATGCAAGCTGGTGCAGCCACTCTGGAAACCAGCATGGAGGTTCCTCAAAAAGTTGAAAATAGAGCTACCCTATGACCCAGTAATTACAGTACTGGGTATTTACCCTAAAGATACAAATGTAGTGATCCCAAGGGTCACGTGCACCTGAATGTTTATAGCAGCAATGTCCACAATAGCCAAACTATGGAAAGAACCTAGATGTCCATCAACAGATGAATGGATAAAGAAGATGTGGTATATATACACGATGGAATACTATGCAGCCATCAAAAGAAATGAAATCTTGCCATTTGCGATGACGTGGATGGAACTAGAGGGTATCATGCTTAGCGAAATAAGTCAGAGAAAGACAACTATCATATGATCTCCCTGATATGAGGAAGTGGAGATGCAACGTGGGGGGTTTGGGGGTAGGAAAAGAATAAAGGAAACAAGATGGGATCGGAAGGGAGACAAACCATAAGAGACCCTTAATCTCACAAAACAAAGGGAGGGTTGCTGGGGGGAGGGAGATAGGGAGAGGGTAGCAGGGTTATGGACATTGGGGAGGGTATGTGCTATGGTGAGTGCTCTGAAGTGTATAAACCTGGCAATTCACAGACCTGTACCCCTGGGGCTAATACATTATAGGTTAATAAAAAAAATAAAAAATAAATTTAAAAAAAAAAAAAAACCTGAGGCAAACACTGAGTCAAAAAATAAGAGTCCTCCTAACAAATCAGGCCAAAGGTTAATAATTATGCTTTGGACAGTGTATGTAAAATTGAGATTCAACTTTTTCTATGGAGCTTTGTTATATAGCTTTACTCAGTTTCTCAGAATGTTCAGAGATCCTAAAAATACTTTTTTACCACTACTTTTAATCCAGCGAAATGAGAAAAATATGAAAACAATTTAATAGGATTTTATAAAACTACAATCACCAGCATGCCCCAATCAATATAGAACCAGCATAGTTACATTCAAGCTCTGCATACACAAAATCTTTACATATACTTCTGCTACGATGAAGTAAGTACCTACTATTTGATGACCAAGTGTCCAATATGGTTCTCACAAATCTAATGCAGTATTTTAACATGAATAAGAGAATATGGGAATAGCTTCTAGGAATATGTTTGAAATACAAAAATAAATGAACAAATAAAACTAAAGCAGATTATAGTGTATTTTTCATGAGAGAGATAGGGAGGCACCAGTGTCCAAAAGAATGAAAGTTGTAACATTAAATACAGTACCAGGGGCTCAGACATCAAATTAAGCAGTGTCAGTTTATAAAATCCCCATAATTTAAGAGAAAAGTATCCCAAACTGCCACCTAGAGGCCTTTTATAGGAAAAGACTGACAGTCCTGACAACACAAAAATGCAAAACATTACTATAGTATTAGTATTAGTATTGTGATCTCTGTCTGTCAAATAAATAACTAAAATCTTTTTTAAAAATCATGCATTAATAATAAGGTACAAAACAGAGTTAACAGGCAAACAGACCAAAAATACCTGCCACATATCTAACGGTCAATAAGAACAGTCAATTCTTTACACAAAGAATTCCTATCAATCAATAAGGCAAAGACAAAACTCAATAAGGAACGGGCAAATTATGTAAACCATTTCCCCCTGCTTCAGTTTTCAACTCGTAAGATGCTGCTCACAGGTTCTCCACATCATGTTTTCCTGGGTTTGGTGTTCTACACATTAAAGCTGTTGTTTAAATGACTCTCTAATTACCCCCCACATACCTGTAACCTGGTGTTCAGGAAGAGTGAAAATTAACCTCATGAACTCTTCATTTAAAGAAATTACATTGGGGCACCTGGGTGGCTCAGTGGGTTAAGCCTCTGCCTTTGGTTCAGGTCATGATCTCAGGGTCCTGGGATCGACTCCCGCATCGGGCTCTCTGCTCAGCGGAGAGCCAGCTTCCCTTCCTCTCTGCCTACTTGTGATCTCTCTGTCAAACAAATAAATAAAATCTTAAAAAAAAAAAAAAAAAAAAAAGAATTACATCATGACCTACAAGGCTGTTATAGGACTTGTACCTGGAGTATATAAAGAACTCTTACAGGGGCACCTGGCTGGCTCAGTCATTGAAGCATGCGACTCTTCATCTTAGGGTTAGGAATTCGAGCCTCAGCATTAGTTGTAGAGATTACTTAAAAATAAAACCTTAGGGCGCCTGGGTGGCTCCGTTGGTTAAGCCACTGCCTTCTGCTCAGGTCAGGATCCTGGAGGCCTGGCATCAAGTCCCGCATTGGGCTCCCAGGTCCCCGGGGAGTCTGCTGCTCCCTCTGACCTTCTCCCCTCTCATGCTCTCTCTCACTGTCTCTCTCTCATATAAATAAATAAAATCGTTTAAAAAAAAATTCTCTCTCCTCTCCCTCTGTCCCTTCTGCTTGTACTCCCTCTCAAATAAATAAATCCTTAAAAAAAATCTTCTCTAAAAAAAATTTTTTTTAAATCTTAAAAAAAAAAGAACTCTACCAATTCCATGATGAAAAGATAAGTAATCTAATTTTAAAAATGGGCAAAGGATATGAATAGACATTTCTCCAAATATATACAAATAGCTGATAGCACATGAGAAGACCTTGCTCAACATCATTACCCATCAAGAAAATGCAAGAAAATGTTCACACCCACTAGGATGGCTAGAATTTTTTTCTTAACCACTGGAATTTTTTTAAATTTAAACTTAATTAGCCAATATAAAGTACATATTTAGTTTCAGATGTAGTGTTCAATAATTTATCAGTTGTGTAGAACACCCAGGGTCACGTCACATAGCATGGCTAGAATTAAAAACAAAAACAAAATAGGCAATGAGGGGCGCCTGGGTGGCTCAGTGGGTTAAGCCTCTGCCTTCGGCTCAGGTCATGATGTCAGGGTCCTGGGATCCAGCCCTGTATCGGGCTCTCTGCTCAGCAGGGAGCCTGCTTCCCTTCCTCTCTCTCCCTGCCTGCCACTCTGCCTACTTGTGATCTCTCTCTGTCAAATAAATAAAATCTTAAAAAAAAAAAAAAAAGGCAATGAAAAGTATTAGCAACGATATGAAGAAATCAGAACCTTCATATACTGCTGATAGGAATATAACATGGTACAGCTGCTTTGGAAAACAATCTGGCAGTTTCTCAAAATGGGATACATAAAGTTACCCTACGACCCAGCAATTCTAATCTTAGGTATACACCTTAGGAGAGTTGACTGAAAAACTCAGCATTAGCAAGACACTGAAAGGTCTGGAAGCCAGGCTAAAGAATTTCTTTTATCCTGAATGAACAGGGAGGTCAGGAAGCTTCTGAGCATGGGAATAACATAATCAGATCTGCGTTTTGTACGTGCAAATTTTAAGCAGAGTCGTTACTTCTGTACAAAGGTGAAACAGCAATAAAATGCCTTAAACGTATAGCAACACCCCACAGGTAAGAATGAGATTCAAGAAGAACCAAGTATTAAAATACAAGAATTTTTGTGGATTTTTACTATTATACACAACCCACCGACTGACACGCACACATGCACAGATGTCCTGTCCCTAACACTAAAAATGATTTCTGTTGCTGGAACCCTGCAGGGAGTGCAAGGGCGACGGCGACAAAAATCACGACGACCGCTCTCAGGAAACTCTTTTCCGCAGTCACGCTGGCGGGGTCTCCCTCACACTGTGGTAACTCAGCACCGCCCGCAAGGCGCCCAGTTCCACCTCTTGGAGGGGACCCCCAGCTCCTCACAAACGCGCTCTTACGAACGCTCAACGCGGACGGCAGGGCAAGGTCACGGCTAGCTGCTACCCACCGCCCCACAACCCCCGGGAGGGAGGGAGGAAGGAAGCACCTCGCAGCACCCCAAGGCGCGGAGCCCACCAAGGGCCCCCGACACCAAGCATACACGCGGGAAGGTCGCGACCGAGCGAAGGCGCGAGCCGCCGGGAGGGGACCCCTGAGGGCATTCCCCGGGCAGCAGCCCACAGGAAGCGCAAACGCAGCCCCCCACACTGCGGGAACAAATATTTCCAAAAGTAAAAGAGACCGGGACGCTTAGAGCGACGCGGAATCTAACCTGTCAGGTTTCTGAGCAGCACGCAGCGGAACGCAAGCGCCCTCCTTCCGGAGGCGGTAGAGTGGGCGGGAAAAGCCAGCCCGCACGCCGGCAAAGAGCAGTCGAGACTTCCGGTGCGGCGTCCTCGCAGGTGTAGAGCGTCAGATCGCGCCGGTGGAGCCGAGCTCCGGACCGTGGTCGGCCAAACCAGAGTCCCAGGCCCGGATTCCCAGGTGGAGATGGGGGGAGGGGGTGTGGCTTCAGCTTCCCAGACGCTCCCCCTCGCACCCGCACCTCAGAGCCTCTCTTTCCGCTTTCAGCAGCTAGTTAGCGCCCTCGTACGTTCAGTCCAGCTGCGCTAGTGGAGGAAATTTAAACCACCGGTTTATGTGGCTCCTGCAGGGGTCTGGCGCTTTGGCTGACCTCCAAGGACATGAAACCACCGACCATCGGGGTCCTGCTCAGGCTCGAAAGTCCATCTTGCCCCATTCGGTTGAGAAATTTGACAACATTAAATTTCCTTTTGTTCACCAAATTTTTTATTCAATGCCTACTGTGCTCCAGGGAATGCGAGGGGGTAAGAAAAAACAATGTAACCCAAGTTAAGTAATAAAATGAGGGGCGGGCGCCTGGGTGGCTCAGTGGGTTAAGCCGCTGCCGTCGGCTCAGGTCATGATCCCAGGGTCCTGGAATCGAGCCCTGCATCAGGCTCTCTGCTCAGCAGGAAGCCTGCTTCCCTCTCTCTCTCTGCCTGCTTCTCTACCTACTTGTGATCTCTCTCTGTCAAATAAATAAAATCTTTCAAAAAAAAATTAAAATGAGGGGCGCCTGGGTGGCTCAGCGGGTTGAGCCTCGCTGCCTTCCGCTCAGGTCATGATCCCAGCCTCCTGGAATCGAGCCCCGCATTGGGCTCTCTGCTCAGCGGGGAGCCTGCTCCCCCCCGCCCCTCGCTCTGCCTACTTGTGATCTCTGTCTGTCAAATAAATAAATAAAATTTAAAAAAATTTTTTTTTAAGTAATAAAATGAATAATAACAGAATTTATCTGGTACATTTGTTATGAGGATGTAAAGTGCTTAGGTAGGGTCTGGCACCTTGTAAGTCATCAATGAACGTTAGCTATCCTTATTTTCATTTTGATCATAACACTGCAGTCATTGATTTAGGAAGGATGTTAGAGTTCAAAGTCAGTGGCCAAGAAAGAATTCTTGAGCGGTCTTTAGTGCAAAAAGCTGGTTTTATTAAAGTTCAGGGAGAGAACCTGTGCGCAGAAACCTGCAATGGGGTTGTTATGAGGTGGTAATTATATACCTTCAAGTTGGGAAGGGGTTAGGGTTAGCATAAGTCTCTAAGGAATTCTGGAAACAAGATTTCCAGAAGATTGAGGGGGTTACTTATTGTTGGGAAAAGGTCATTTAAAAGATCTTATAAAACCTTAGTCATGAGAGCCTCCAGAGGTATATCCTTGGGTCATATGCTTGGGGGATGATTGCTAACATGTATCTTGGGGAGTAAAGATAAAGGAGGTTTCCAAAGGAATTTCTATATGTTATAGAAGACCTACGGGGTCCTGGGGGTTAGGCTAAGATTGCATTTTGCCCTTAGCAAAGTGTCAACATCGAGGGAATTGAGTCCCTAGAGGAATGTCACTCTGCCTGTTTTGTCGTCGATGGGCAGCAAGCAGTAAGGAAATTTTTCTTCTGCCTTTGTTTCCCACGTCATCATCACCACTATTACTATCATTATTTACTTTTTTAATGTCAAATTTGAATTCCAAGTACCTTTCCTCCAAAAAGTAGAGTCTCAGTATTGGTGGGTAATCTAAATTTGGTATGTTCCATTACCAGACTAGTCAAGTTTAATGTCATTTCAAACCTGAAGTTCCCTGTGTTTCTGAAGGTCTTGTGGGGATATCTAATACGTTTCCTTATTTTCTGATAGAGCTGATATGAAGATTAAATGAGATTAGATAGCACTGATGATGTAAGTGCTCAAAAATATTGGTTATTACTTTTAAGTCCGCTTGAGACAGGGATTCTACTTCTCACTGCCGCAAGTATCCTATCTGATACTTTCTCTCTCCCCTATATATTTATGGACAGGATCTGTTTTGCTGCCTCTTAACTTCCAAGGAGCCAGGGCAGGGGTAGGAGGTAAAGAGATGAGGAGGGGTTGACTATAGTCCTGTCAATGAGGGGTAATAGTAAGTGGTGAAATGACTACTTTGAGAAATTCACTCAACAGCAACAGGGTCAAATCCACCAAATCTAGGGGCGCCTGGGTGGCGCAGTAGGCTCAGCCTCTGCCTTCAGCTCAGGTCATGGTCTCAGGGTCCTGGGATAGAGCCCTGCATTGGGCTCTCTGCTCAGCGGGGAGCCTGCTTACCCCCCTCTCTCTGCCTGCCTCTCTGCCTACTTGTGCTCTCTCTCTGTCAAATAAATAAATAAAATCTTAAAAAGAAAATCCAGCATATCTAGCCTATCTCAGCAGCTGCCTTAGAACTACCAAATCAGAATAGAGTTACTACATACGGTAGTTGTTCATGTACATGGAAGAATCATTTTATGCATATTAATATTCTACTACTTTACTAAATTGTTTTATTGTTTGGAGTTGATTCTTTTAGATTTTCTATGATAACGATCAGGTCATTGAGATAAAGTTTTACCTTAATCCTTTCCAAATTTTATAACTCCAATTTCTCATATCTAATTGTATTGACTAGTTATTTCCAATAAAAATATTTAATAATAGTGAAGACAGTAGGCTTCTTTGTCTTACTTTACTTTTAATGGGCTTTCTCCAGAATGTTCCCATTAAGTTGCTGCTGGGGGGCACCTGGGTGGCTTAGTTGGTTGAGTGTCTGCCTTTGGCTCAGGTAATGGTCCCAGAGTCCTAGGATCAAGCCCTGAGTCAGGCTCCCTGCTCGTGTTCCTTCTCTGTCTCTCTCGGTCAAATAAATAAATAAAATCTTTAAAATATAAAATAAATTTTTTAAAAAGTATGCCTCTGTTTGAGGACACTGGGGTAAATCTTTTATCATGTTAAGGAAGTATCCAGCTATTAAGAGAACAAGCAAAATTTTGACACAAAGCATTGAGCATCCCACTACATCTTGTCATAAAAGTAAGTGTAAACTAGACAATATTTGTCTCAAAGACACTAATAAAATTAACATTGGCTAAGTTGGAATCAATGTCCTTCCTTACCTAATCTTACATAATATCATCATGAAATTGAATCCTGACTAGGTTATTTACAAGTAATTCCCCTGTGACATTCTGATCTTTAACCCTGGAAAAGTTCTTTGTTATCTTTTACAGAGCGTCATCTTTACTCCAAAGTCTATGCTAGCTCTACACTTTTGTTACAGGAAATTGCATGGATCTACTATAGTCTGGTTATAAAAGTTGTGTGTGTTCAAATATGCTGGTTGTAGAAAACAGGAACATTTTTACAATGATAAAGAGATTAAGTCATCAAGAGATATAACAATCCTAAATTTGCATACACTTACAGCAAGAGGTTTGATACCTGTGAAATAAAAAGTAAACAGTGAATTAGAAAAACCAACAATTAAAAAAAAAAGAAAAAGAAAAATCAACAATTATAGTGGGTTATCTTAACTTCATCTCTCAGGAATGAATAAAACAACTAGGCAAATAAAACAGTAAGTGTATAGAAGACTGGAGAACATTATCAACCAACTTGACTTATTGTTATTTATAGAACACTTTGTAAAAAGCAAAATGTATCTTTAAGTGCATAGAATATTCACTTTTATGCTGGTTCATAAAACAAATCTCAATAAATTTAAATAGATTAAAATCATGCAATATGTTATGTGGCTATTGTACAATTATATAATATAACAATTATATTAGAATAACAAATTACATTTATAATATATAGAACATATAACATAATTGAATTAGAAATTACTAACAGCAGAATATCAGGGAAAACTCCAAATATTTTGAAATTAAACAACATATTTTTAAATAGCCTATGGGTCAAAGAAGAAATCATAATGAAGCTGATAAATATCTAAAACTGAATACAAATAAAAATGCATATAAAAGTGTAGAACACAGAGCAAGTGGTACTTAGAAGGAAAAATTATTGCTTTGTATGTTTATATTAGAAAAAAAGGAAAATCTAAATTATGTAAGCTTCCACTTTAAGAAATTAAGGGAAAAGAAGAGTAGTAACGAATGAAATAAAGATACTTCTGGAAATTAATTGAATAGGAAACGTGCTTCTTTTAAGAGATAAATAAAATTAGTTAACATTTAGCTAAAGATCTGATCAATCAAAAAAAAAGAAGTGGGGACACAAATTAACCAATATCAGGAATGAGAGAGAAGAAATCAGTGCAGATCCTGTAGATATTAGTAAAAAAGAAGGAATTCTGCTGCTAGTAATAGCTGAGTATATCCTTGGAACAACCCTCCTACAGGTAAAAACTGCAAACTCTGGGCCAAGTAGAAAAAATAACTACTTGAAGATAATAGGAGAACAGCACAAGAAGAAGAGTTGCAGAAGAGTTAATGCTTTTGTAAAAAAAAAAAAAAAGAAAGAAAGAAAGAAAAGGAAGGAAGGAAGGAAGGAAGGAAGGAAGGAAGAAATGGGACACGTGAGTTTCCCATTTGTATGGATTTTTGCTGGCTTTCCTTCATTTTATTTTGTTTTGTTTTGTTTTTTATTAAGTTCAATTAGCCAACATATAGGACATCATTAGTTTTTGACGTAGTGTTTAATAATTCATTAGTTGTGTGTAACACCCGGTGCTCATCAGATCATTTGCCCTCCTTAATGCCCATCACCCCATCCCCATCTCCCTTCTGCAACCCACAATTTGTTTCCTCAAGTCCAGAGTCGCTCATTCTTTCTCTCCCTCCCTGATTTCTTCCCATTCAGTTTTCCCTCCCTTCCTCTAAGACCCTCAATGCTATTCCTTATATTCTGCATATTAGTGAAACCATATGATAATGGCTTTCTCTGATTGACTTACTTCACTTAGCATAATCCCTTCCAGTTCCAACCATGTCGATGCAAATGGTTGGTATTCATC